CAGCTGTTTGCCAGACGTTTCTGATTATGAATTATTAGTTAAGAAACTAAAATCCCCTTGGACAATTCATTTCGCCTGAGAGCACCTTTGAGCGATAAAACTTTACTAAACCACTCCGAGCCTCACGTACTTGTCACCATACAGCATACGATGAGGTCAAACGCTCCTGAATTAAAGCAGAACGTAGGCCTTAGTTGATTCTCAAGGGGTAGCATTTTTAGAATCACTTCAAGCGTACCCGCCGGTCGACGAATGGGCGGCACTCCAACATAAGCAACTAATATTGTCAACAGTAATTTGTAGAAATTATGAGCTTCAAGTTAATAATGTTTCCCGAAATTGTTATTTTTAACAGGAAAAACTGTAGAAAATTATAACGCTCCGAAAGTCATTGCTCGATTAAGCTAAAAAATCGAGTGCTTCACGTCTATTTTTAAACAACACCGCTGCTCAGGTGTCTCCTAAGATTTCAATATGAAATACGCGTTTTTAATATAGCACACTTCGCAATACGTTTAATATAATTAACAAACTACCTCAGTCGCATCGAAAAGGTCGGAATAGGTGCTATTTACAAAAAAAGCTCTGTTTGCAACACTACTAAACTCCACAAATGAGACTGCAGACATCTCAGGAGTGCCGCTGCTTTTCGGCGCTTTTTAAACCAGTTTTCTTAGGTTAAGGTGATTCCATACTTATAGCACAAGTAGCAGCCAAAAGCCCATACACGCGTGTTTCGCCGATATTCTGCCGCCACAGGACACAGCTGTGAGGGGTTCGGATCGACAGTGGGTCCCCCAACATTCCCTGTCTGCTTTCTGGTAGATAGACCAATTTAGAAAAAAGTTGCTGTTTAATTTCCTCAGAAATTAACTGCGAGCTTGGAGTCCATCGCTGTGGCTAATGGACTTCAGCCAAAATGCTCATAAGCAAAAACTTTAGTCTGAGCCTATAGACCTTAAACATACTGATCTGTTCCAAGTTCACAGTTAATTTCTAAGGAAATTAAAAAGCAACAAATCCGTTTTTCCCTCCATTTCCTCCAGAAAATTCAATGGATTTGAACACACATTTAACGTCACACTGATTACACTGTGAAGGGCATTGAAAAATTGAGGCTGAAGACACTACATCTTCCTCAGTGAAAACAGTTCTAAGCATTCATCAGCCAATGCTTATTTTTGCAGGTAGCACCTTATCAGTGGTTTCCAAATACAGACGATAGCTTCCAGACGGCGGTGACATACTGTAGACGACTTAACCTTATCTTTACTTTGAGGAACGACACGCCTCTCAACCGCTTTGTTATTCCATCTTCGTAGACCACCACTGGTCTTACACAAATAGCAATACGAACCCAAGCAAATGGGCCCATCTTAACTCCATAATGTGCTCGGGATGGGCTCAGTCGCCAATCGCCTTGAGCTCTAGGAAGGCCACTTTCTTGGGCATGAACAGCGAGGCCGAGGTCGACATTTCTCAGCAGAGTTCAAAGAAATCTGGATATTTCAATGTTACAAACAACGGCCATTCCCGTAAGTCATCTAATTCTGCTCAGAATCTTTTATCTCTATCTTTTTCTCTTTTCCGGTATCAGTAAGTTTTGAACATATTTTGAGATTTGATGTAGACTTTCTTTGGGCATTCTGGTGTGACCTCTTTTTAAAGGCAGATTTCACTCCAAGTCATAGGTACAAGCAAGATACTCCCATACAGTTAAGCTGATGATTTGGGATTTCCTTGCGAACTACCACTTCAGCATGTGACGAGATGTGGCAAACTGAAGTATCTATCTAAACACCCGAGGCATTCACGGAAATCCAACGATAAAGGGCGTTTTTTCGGCAATAATGCATTTATGGCAACTGTAGCATTGTAGAGAGCACTGTCTAGTGCAAATAAGAAAGGCCGCCGGTTAATCACTACTCATTCAGGTGCTAACCACTGGTGCTTATTTTCAACTGATGCTTATTGATACTTATTAATCTGACTCCTACTTAAGAACTAAGGAATAGCAGAATAATGGGATAAGAAAATCTACTAAAGTATCTAGTCCGAAAGTTTAGATCACTTTCCTGTTTCGAGAACGCATTCACTGACTTTCGGAAATTATTTCAATATTCTCCAAGGGCGCGCAATAACACAGATTATTGACAGCAAAGTAACTCTGCCGGACAAAAAAGACTAGAGGAAATAAAAGTAGACTCCAGTAGATGTGCTACCTCATGAAATGGTGACCGAAATTCTGAAATACGTTTTCGACTCCAAAAGATTACTTAGGTTGGATTGTAAGATCAACATTAAGCAGCACAATTTAAAAATATTTCAGTTACTTCGGGATGGCGGCTATTGAACTAACTTCTCTACGGCCGCCTGCAAAACTGAACTTTGTAAAAAATGACTACTTAAGTAGTGTGAATTCTCTCCATAGCTTTTTGATGCCCTTATCAATTTAAATATCGTCCGTAGTAAACATGAGCAGAAATATTCAGTATTTTAATCATTTGTTAGGAGATTGCTTCCTCCTCAAATTCTGTAACTGAGAAAGGATATAATCCTGTTTTAAAATCTGTCTAATTATGAGATTATTTAGGACCGTGAGATGGCCGTTCATAAAACATTGTGTCTTTCACTTTCAAATGTTGCTTGTAAAGTTTACAACATCGTTCAAATCCACTGCTGAATTTTATGAACACCTATATGGTCTCCTCTTAATAGCACATAGAAATGTGTGATTTTCCGTAATCGGGTAAGATAGGGCTTGTAGTTTGGGAACCCGAATGCAGGTGTAACGGCAGGCCGGATTCAGAAGTATTTGGGAATTGAAATATTTTATTAAAACCTAATAATAGCCTTCCTTTACGCATAAAATTTGAAGAAGACTTAGGGTTTTAGCAAATGAGAAAAAAATGAAAATCCGTGTGCATGTTTTCTGTAAAATATAGTACAATTTATGAGGCGACTGGAAATTAATGAGAAAAATTCACACTATATAAGTAGACATATCTAGCACAGTGTAGTTTTTCACAAGCGGTCGGAATGAAGTTTGTTGAAAAGCCAGTATTCCGAAGTAGCTCAGATATGCTGGAATTGTGCTGGACGGTTATTGATAGTACAACCCTACTTAAGTAATCTTTTCTAATCGAAGACGCATTTCTGTCAGTGTCCATATTTTTTGTAACCCTCTGTTCTTACTTTGCTTCTGTTGCACATCTGAACTGAGCCATCTTTTTAAAGGGAAAAATAGTAGATGAATGGAGAAGTTCAGACTGGTGACGCTTGTTATGAGTCATTATATTTGGAGTAAATGACAGAAGCCCTGAAAACAGATGTAAAGGAAAATAGTTAAATTGCAAAGATTTTGCGTGCGGTTTTAGTGAGAAGAATGCATGAATCTAATAGTGGAGCATAAATGCGAAAATAATATGGCATTTGCGAAATAATTGCGAAAAAACTTTATTCACTGCACTCGGACTGTAAAAATTTACACAAGGGTCAATTTTACCACACAAAAGTATCTGTTGAAATCCTGTTAGTAGTATGTTTATAGTCAGTTATGTGAAGGGCTTAGGTCTTTTGCTTCTGCATCTGGACGGTAAGCTTTCTTCCGAAAGTAAATCTTCACTTTTAGTCGTATGAATGCACGCCACGGTCCAGTGACAAACAAGGCAATCAAGGACCCTCCTGACTTCTAAATGCACTTTAAGTCCTTGCCTGTGTTTATACAAGTGACGCACACATTACTGCTTGCGAAATCCATCTTGTGTCATCATCGCTCAAAGCCAAATGCGTACATTTATTCCCATTTCATGCAGTGCAAGTCAACATCCCCGACGGACTGTGGACAATCACGCTAAATGATGAAGCAGAGGGCTTCTACAAAGTTAGCCAGTTTCATTTTCACTGGGGAGGTGGAAATGACAGGGGTTCGGAACACACTCTGGACGGTCAGACTTTCCCGCTAGAGGTTTGTCTTTGTCTGATATTGCATAGTAATTTTAAAACTTCTCCTATCGGATGAATTCACTTGGCCGGGCCGATCAGTCCATCTAAACATCCCCAGTTGTCTTTAGGATAGAGAGATGCCATACTAACAGCACAGGTGATAGCCAAAAGCCCATACATGCGTGTTTCGCTGATATTCTGCCGCTGCATAACACAACTGCGAGGGGTGCGGCTCGGCATTGGGTTCCCCAGCATTCCCTGACTGCTTTCTGGTAGATACTCCAATTTAGGAATCGTTGTATCTGAAGAAATGTAAGCTCTACTGTCTAGGCCGTTAGACGACTGCGATGCAGTTGGCGGTGATTAAACTGAGAAATCCGCCTCTGCATGCATTCACCGACATAAACTGGCAGAACAAGGCGCGATCGCCAGTCCCACGTGGCCATGCATACTCTGGGTACCGAGCCTATCAGTGCGTCGGGCAAACTTAGTATTTTCAACGTCTGTCCTTTTAAGAACGTCCAAAAGTACCTCGAGGGCATGCAATTTGATCATGCGTTATTTGGAGCATTCGGTTTGATGCCGCGAACAAAAATCCCACGGACAGGTGGAAAGAGCCAATCAGAACGGGACGACACACGCAGCGGCTGCTCATTGGGCAGTCATCAAACGAATTTAGCATGTGAAGAGCGTTTAAAATTTTAACAGCTTTTCGCACATTTGTTCTACGTCTGGCGACAACCTAGAGAACCAGCGTCAGAAATTTCCATAATCAAGTTTGCTACTTTTCCCAGAGATGATTTTTAACTTTAACATATCTCTATATGCTTGCTAGAAATTGCCAAAAGTGACCTAACATAGCATCAGTCTTACTTGTCATTGTCAGTTCATGTGACTGATAGTACTATCATCAAGACCTCTTCGAACAAACGAGGGGTCGTCAATCACATTTTAACGAATTTATTTCATTTTGAGCGTTCCACAGCAAGACATGATGCACACTTTTTCAAGAGTACTTACTTAAAAGACCAGCCATGCGCTCTCTCCATTCATAGATGCACATTGTCGCCTACTCCTCCATGTACGCCAATTTCTCGACGGCAAAATCGGCCCCAAGAGGGTTGACTGTGATTGGCGTCTTCTTCCAACTGACCACTGATCAGTCCAAATCCAGTCTGTCAAAAATGGGCAACCTCTTATCAATTATTGGCCAGCTCACAAATGCGAGTACGACCACCAAAATACAGTCGTTTGACCCTCATATTCTCCTGCCCACTAAAAAGAACCAGTTTTTCCGCTATTTCGGTTCTCTCACTACGCCGCCCTGCACGGAAAACGTCCAATGGACTGTGATGAGAAATCCCCTCCTCGTGACCACTGCAGACGTAAGTTTCTCTGTCGTCTCCCTTCTGTCTGTGTTCATGGATTTTTTCAATTTCGCCGGGGCTGAAAGCTGAAAATGGACCGTGAGGGAAGACGGTAAATGCGTCGCACTGCAAGCATAAGGACAGACGACGTCCATAACTCCTCCTTTTTAACGGAAAATTCAGAGAGTTTCCAGTTGTATGGAAAGGTTGAGCGCAGAGAAAGCTCAGCTCATTCGATTGAGGTTAGCTGACGGATTCTGGAAAAGGAGCAAGATTGAATCGAGGAATATTGGGGAACAGGGGAAAATGAGGCAGGGATGCCCTATAATTAACCGGCCGAGATCTCGTCTGTTGATAAGGCAAGACTGGACAAAATCGACTTGATATGCAGCCACACAGTTAAGCGTACGAATATCTCTGTTTGCTGTTGTCCTCCAGCTGAAAGATGGTTGTGATAAATACAAGTACGCTAAGGGAATTTGCCAGCGTAGGCGGACAAGGAAGTCCGGCAACAAAAAATGGCGTAAGAGGGCGCTCAGGCTGTGCATGAGTTCAACGTCCGCGCAGCCGACCACATGGCTGAATGCTGCTCGGGGGTGGGGGAGTTGAAGAGATGCATCTGTCAGACAGGAGGGTGGGAAAGGCAAATGTGAGAGTCAAAACACCGGACCGTCAAGCAGGGGGGGGGGAGCCTAATCCTCACTGCTTGGGATCTGGCGGCTGATTTATCTGAGTTCATTCTACTGGTTGCAAGTAAATGCTTTGGACCAACATGGGGACTAGATGAGAGTCCGACAGGCGTTACTGCGAATTCACACTAACGACAGATGTCGACATTCGGATGTAGTGACACGCCCATGTGCCGGCTCCCGCCGCGCCGATTGGGATCCGTTCCACCCCCTATTTTTGTTGAGGTACAAAATCCCGGTCAGTGTTGTTGTGGGCCGGGGGGGAATGTGGTGGTACTACACCTAGGTGGGGGTTTGCGCCGTACCGGCCACCTGCGTCGTCTCAGCGCTCCAGTCTTCTTGACTATGTCTTGACGCCGGCCGAGGTGGGCGGGGAAAAAAGAGTGCGGTAGATGCTGTGCAAGTCTTCACTATAAATTAATTTATGCTCAAATCCCAGTGCCTGCTCTCACTTTGCTGTGCAGGGCGCGGTAGACATTGTGCCGGGCGAAGTTAAATGGAGTTTGGTCGAAAGATATTCGCAGCGAGTGAAATCAAAAGCAGTCACCTAAGACCATTCACCGCCTACGGACATCGCGCACCGTCACTGGTTATGCAACGCATTCTGTACAACCGATGGTCTACAACACGGAATATCAAGTTAGGATGGTAAAAGTAGAATTTTACTTAGTAGACCGAAAACGGCTATTGAACTCAGTGGACGGGGTTTTTTGATGATAAGAAGCCACCCCAATCCTCCAACGTTTCCGCTATTCTAAAACTGCTTCTGTGAACAAAAGGTTGCATTACTTTCATCATTTTCGGTCCATACCATGAGAAATTTATGAAATACGGACCAATGCCTGGTAAACCAATGTTTTTTGTGTTTTCTGGACTTGCAGTTGGAGAAACTACGATCCCTCCGGTTCGGGGACAGTGATGGCGGGAAGCCGATGCAGGATAACTTTCGCCCGCTTCAACCGCTAAATGCCATTCAGGCGCCGCAACCACGGGTGTTGTACAAATCCTGGTCGGTAGCCACGCAAACCTCCGTCGCAACCAGTCTCCTCTTACTCAGCCTGAGCTTGACGCTTTTCAGACTTTCCTGTTAAAAAGTATTTTCCCAACAAAATTCTCCGAGACCCCTTTGCTGAGAACAGTAAATTGAACATGTTTTGTAATACTAAATGCATGCATTTATTAAAATCCTGAAATGATGAGTCAGCTGGTTAATTTACTTTACTGCCCAGTGTGGTTTACCTAGGAGGGAGTTACCGAGATCTGACCCGATTGGAGGAAAAAAATTGCCTTCTTCGGAGCCGCGGGCTGTGGATTTCACGGTTGGATGTAATGTGACATTCAGGTAGCATTCGGGGGTAGTGAATGAAGGAAGAGTGCAAAAATCGCATCAACTGGCCTGGTTTATTTCAGTTCAGTTTATTGGATGGGAATATAGGTGCTGAACCTTTGATCTCCCTATTTGTTACAAGGAAGCGAACTATATCAAAAAGTTGAAAATGGAAACATCAAACAGCTACAGAGTTTCTTCAGATTGGCAAAGATTTCAAAGCCAGACAGATAAACGAATTGTTCCAAGGGTTAAAAACATTAACGTTACTAAGTGTGCTGTACAGTAATCTGTCTATGGCTGGTTGGTGCTATCTCAGTACCTGAGGGAGGCGAATTGAAAGAAGACGTAGTTCCCTACCGACTGAGTAGAAGAATGAATATTTTGTGCATGTTTTCCATGAAATATAATTGACATTCAACAGACATGCGTCGATAGTAAACTACTGGGGAACTAGATAATTGAGGAGGGATTACGGTATGACCATTTGTCGAAGAAACAAGATATTTCGATCGTTGCAGGAAGTAAAATGCATTAATTTCTCATGAGGCGGATCCGGCAGCGGTGCCTTGGGCGCAGTTAGGTACAGAATTATGCAATTGCTTACCGTACTAACAACACAGGTATTAGCTAAAAGCCCAGACACGCGTGTTTCGCTGCCCGACGCATCTGCGAAGGGTTCGGCTCATTAGTGGGTCGCCCAGCTTTCTACGTGTGTTTTCTGCCATAGAAACTCCAGTTTCGCCTTGCCTCGTTTAGTTTCCGAGGTAAGTAGTGTGCAGACTTGGATTAAATCTTTTGAAACAGACCTTTTCAAGCACGGTCCGAAATTGGATATGAGAATTTGAGCTGAAATCCACTAAGTACAGCAAAATAACTGCGTAAAATTCACAAACGGACAACAGGCAGTCAGTAGTATATAACTGTGCAATGATTTACCGTACTAACAACACAGGTATTAGCTAAAAGTCCCGACACGCGTGTTTCGCCGATCCTGTGCCGTTTCCTGACGTAGCTGCGAGGGTTTCATCTCATCAGTGGGTCCCCCAGCTTTCCTCGTGTATATTCCGGCATACGAACTCCAGTTCCCTTTTGCCTTGTTTAATTTCCGAAAGATTTACTCCAAGTTGGTGAACTACTGTCCTCGGAAATTAAATAATGCAAGCAGTTAGGTATATAAACAGGTGGAGTTGCGCTGCTTCTGTCTCACTCGCACTCTCACATTGGTGTTAACACAAAGTGAAGTCGACCAGGGTGTGGGAGTGAGTGCAGCGGGCGGCAAATCTACACGTGTCGCACATGATGTTGTCCCTGAGGGGATTTCTAATGTTATGCAAGGAAAAGGGTCATTAATACCACAGTAAGGAGAGATATTTCAGTCTGACCAACAGTCGTAAAGTGAACCAGGTTGCTCCAAGCGACAACACTTAGCGTGTTACGATAACTTGATTGTCGGAAGAAAAGAAACACCAATTCCTGCTGGGTCGAATAAACACACTCCCCTCCAACACGCCAGTGGCTTGTCCTAGTCAAACCAACCGTGAATCGAAATAGGCGGGTTGACTGACATGACACTGGCTTCGTTCTCAGGGCAGTGAAACTGCGCCGTTAGAGGTTGGAACCTACTGGATCTGTCTTACATCTACCATATCTGATCGAATTTGTTAAACACCCTCATCTAACGCATGTTATGCTTGAAGAGCCAGTATGTATGAGATTTAAGTTTTACAAAAAGGGTGCCGTTTGACCGCCACGTGTGGCAAGAGCCACGGATGCACCCCTAATGCGTGTTCGGAGGTAAGGTGCACGTAAATATGTTCACGATAAGACAAACTTTCACCAAATTCACACCACTTTTCAAATATATATATATACCGGTAAAAAGGACGCTTACCGATCGTGTTACGGAGCCTTGTGCCTTGGGGCTCTCTCACGAGCCCAACCAGCAGCCTCACAGCGGTGCGTACTATAGTCGCAATAACATTATCGACGAAAATAAGGGAGATTGAAATGGCCATTTCCGGCTTATTAGCCGTCGTCAGCCAGTCGTGCCCAACCCCGAATACCTGGAGTTCGATCTCGCGACCCAACGCCTCTGCACCGGAGTCATTGTCCTGCCGGTTGCGATCAAAAGTGTAAAACTGTGGAGGAGCGCTCATCCATCGTACTGCGGAGATCACTCGTCCCGTTGCGCTGCTGTGCGGTTGCTGGTTGAGCTTGAGAGGAAGCTCTAAGGCATATCGGGGCGAATGAATTTTGAAACAAGATCGGCGAGCGTCCTTCTAAAATTACATATATATACATGATAAAGAGAAGGTTCTTCGGAAAATCGAGTTGCACTCGTGAATTTTCAAGTTGGAGACACCAACCAGTCGTCAGACGAAATAAGCAGAAGAGAAAGTGAGATCTGCTGACTAGATCGGTTGGCGCGACAGGAAAATAACAGACAGACAGCTGGAGCATGAGAGGGGTGGGGTGAGCGAGTACAACTCGGCTTTCCAAAGAACCTTCTCTTTTTTCATTATATGACCTCTGCATGTTCACTAAGTCAGTGATTCATATATACACATATTGAAACCACCCATCATGCTTCGGTGGTCAAGTCTAATGAAAGTGGAACGATGCCCATGTACTAGAGCCATTCGTGACCTGGACTTTAACTCTAAAAACTTTATTCAGACGAAGGGCTCTAATCTGACATAGGCGAAAATTCCAATTGTTCATTCCGTACAGAACAACTGGAGATGGGATCGGAAGAAGCAAGCAATCACATGAATGTCCCTACGTCAGCGGGAGAGCGGCGTCCAAAGTGTCCATCAACGGATACGTCAAGGCGCCTTAAGCCAGGACACGTCCAACTTGAGCTTGAATCTGATTGGCCAGCTTGTAGGCCGAGAGGGCGAACGCCAGGCAACTCTGGTGCGCACTTGCAGACACTCGCGAGAGACCCAGCGTTGCGACAGGCACTAGGACTAGGGTCACTACACCTGTCCCTCGATCCTGAGCAGAATTAGGATCATTCGGCAGCCTCCTAAACTACGATTGTTAGCACTTCGTAGGAGCGCCAGGCTTGCCAAATTTGTCTTAATGGGGAATGCGCTGATTTGGCATGAGGAGGGATTCCATCTCGGTATCGGTCTTCTTCTCTCTTCCCTCCCCAATGCACCAATCGAGTGTGCGAGCCTGCAAACCACCTGGCGACAGGGTTGGTGGCCTCAACTGACGCAATATGAGGTCCGCAGTCCAATGTGTGCCGTGAACATGCACGACAGTATCTATGGCTTCTCATATACTTAGCAGAGAATGCGTATGATGTACAGTAGGTGGGCTGACTCCATGAAATATCAGGGGAAATTCCGAAATGCGTTTCCGTTGCGAAAATATTAATTGCGTGGGGTTGTAAAACCAGTCAGCCTGCAACATAATTCTGTAATATTTCAGTTTCCTTAGGATGCCGGCTTTCGAACAAACTTCTTTTCGGCTGCATCCAAAAACCATACTGCGTAGGAGTACTCATTTAGCATGCATTTTTTCACTGATTTTCGATGCCCTAAAAGATTCAACTATATTTATTGGAAAGCATGCGTAAAATGTGCACTCTTTTGCTCGTTCGGTAGAAAATTATGCCTCCTTTAAATTTACACTCAAAGGAAGTGTATAATTTGGTTTTAAAAAGTTTTTAATGGTGAGATTTTTTACTACCGTGAAATGGCCCTTCATTAAACGTCATGCCTCTGCATTTACCAATGTCGCTTGTAAAGTCAACAATGTGGGTCAAATCCACTACTTAATTTTATGAACCATATATGGTTTTCCTTTATTACCGTAGAGAAATGTATGGTTTTCCATAGGCGGAAATTATACGGCTTGTAGTTTGGGAACCCTGAATGCAAGTGTAACGCCATGTTAAGTCCAAAATTATTCGGGAATTGGAAAAGTTTTATAAAACCAAATTATACCCTTCCTTCGAGTGTAAATTTAAAGGAGGCATAATTTTCTACCGAATGAGCAAAAGAGTGCATATTTTACGCATGCTTTCCATGAAATATAGTTGAATCTTCTAAGGCATCGAAAATCAGTGAAAACATGCATGCTACATAAGTAGTTATTTTTTACGGAGTATGGTTTTTGATGCGGCCAACAAGAAGTTTGCTCGAAAGTCGGCGTCCTGGGGTAACTGAATTATTATACAATATAAATATAAATATTAATTATTATAAAAAAATTGTGTTTTATAACCCTACTTAATTAATCGTTTCAAAACGAAATCGCATTTCGGAATTTTTGTTGAGATTTCATGAGTTAGCCCGCTTACTGTACCTCCACACCAGTCTACCGCTCTTTTTATGATTAAATCTCAGTTATTGACCATTTATCGGTGAGGTGTCCTACCATAATGGACAAACTATGAACTTCCAAGTAGAAGGCACTCCGTTCTACTCGCGAGATGCATTTGCAATCATTCCCTTTGGGAGTCGTTGTAGTCTGCGAGGTACTGAATTGAGAACCAGTCGAGTCCAGGTCTACGGGGTCTGACAAATAAAACGACCGGACCTTTTATTCCATTCGCCAATACCTTGTCAGTAATAAGACAATCGTCGTTGCGAATGCAGCTTGCGGAAGCACTGGACCACAGCCCGTACTGCCTCCTGCATTGGAGTTTGGTTTGTGGGGATAGCTTCCGCTATTAACAGACAGATTGCCAGTGAATTGTGTATCCGAACTCTGAACACGGACTATATTCTAGATGTTACTGAGTTACGC